AAAAAAAAAAAAAAGGCTTTTAAGAGACAGCAGCTACAGAGTTCAGTTACCGGCTCTCTCCTCTCTCTCCAAAATGATCGAAAACAACTGTAGTGGGTCGCTACAGGCTGAGCTGCTAAAAGAGACTGAGAGATCCAGTGGCCAAAACGAGGTGGGAGTTTCTTTCTCTTGTAGTTAATGCCCAGGCTGGTCAAGGTGGCAGGGACAGCTCAGGAACTTACACCCCTTTTGTCTTGTGACACCTCATTTTCCTTCTGTATTGGTTGGTATGACTCCATATCCCCGTTCCTGTCTGTGGGGAGGCAGAGGGCGTGAGTGTGGAGGGCAAGCAATTTTATTTTGAAGAGCACAACCTAGAAATTCCATCACTTCCACTCCTGTGCTGTTGGCCAAAACCAAGTCATATGTCCATACCTAGCTGCGAGAGAAGCTGAGACATGGGGGGCCTCAGCCGGGCGGCTGTGCGCCCATCCAAATCTGTTTTGCCGTGGGAGGTCTTGGTACTGAAAGGAGGAAGGGAAGAGTGGAGAATGGAGGGCAGGCAGCAGCCTCGCTGAAGCCTCTGCGGAAGGTCAGGCCCTCCCCACCCCCTCCTGGGCTGGTGTGGCCCGATTGGTCAGGGGCACAGACACACCAGACGTTTCTCTGTAACCCACAACCAGATTCTGTGGACACAGAGGTGACTGCTTCAAGGAGAAGAATTTTGACTCCCCAAGCAGAAGTCACGGGCTAGGATGAAGTCAGTCACAACTTTCTCTTCTGATGCACTGAACACCAGGCTTTCGTCTGCAACCGGTTTTTTAAACTTTTTAACTATGGAAAATGTCGAACATACACCAAAGTAAAGAGACTCACCTAGCGAACTCCTGGGCCTTCACCAGTTTTCCGCGATTATCAGCCAGCCCGTGGCCAGTCTTGTTTCTTCCTTCCCTCCCTTCCCTCCCTTCCCTTCCACCTGATTATCTCGAAACAAATCCTAGACATCCTATCATATCATCTGTACACATTTCAGCATTTATCCTGAAAATTCACAGACCCCCCAAAAAACAACTGTCTTGTCATTGTCACACATAAAGAAGGAACAATAATTCTTTCTTGTCACATGAACAAGTTGGACTGTGAAATCAATTACTGGGTCTCAATCAAGAATTTTTGAGGACAGGACAGGAAAGAAGACAGAGTATCGCAGTCCATCCCAGTAAGTAAGGATAAGTAGTCCTCTGTGAGGTGTTGTCCCAGTGCTACATTTGTTCCCCCACTTTCCAAATTCTCCCTATCTGCATCAAATGTGGTTATGTCTTCGGGTGAGTCCTTTCCCGTCCACACTCTTCATTTCCTGCTACCTACACTCAGGAATGTGATCGATTTGGATTGCAAGGAATATTTGTGGGTTAATGCACGTGTGAATGCATAGACTGGTTTGTGACATACAACCTGCTTAATGTGCGTAGTGGCCAGAAAAAGTATGAAAGCCACTGTTGTAACAAGTATGTTCAAATACCATAACTTCTAGCCAGGGAATGGCTTCTCACAGGCAATTTGAACTATTACACGTTCTGTTTCCTTAATCCAGTTTTAGGAGAGGGCAGACAGATCTCGATGTGACTTGTTTAATAGCTGTAGCCGTGGCTTGTTAGGTTCTTTTCTCCCAAGAAGAGGACCGAATCCCTAAGGACATGCTGAAGGGCTGAGGTCCTCTTCCGCGGGTCCTCCTGTTTACAGTATACAATATCATGGCAAAAACCACACGTGGATGAAGCAAGGCCTTGTGTGGTCTGGTCAGGTCCAGGCTGGAGGACGGTCTGAGGAGGAGATTGGGAAGGGGTTTGTGCCTCTGAGAATGAGGAAGTAAAGAATATGGCGCGAGCCCCCACCCAGAAAAGATCCCAGGATCTCTGGTTGGTTGCTCCTCCGGCTTACTTTGTTCAGAGTCACTGTGTCAGGATAAAATAGTGGCTTAGAACAACAAAGGTTTGGGAGGGAGAGGAGGGTAGGTGATGGGCATTGAAGAGGGCATCTTTTGGGATGAGCACTGGGTGTTGTATGGAAACCAATTTGACAATAAATTTCATATATTAAAAAAAAAAGAGAACAACAAAGGTTTACCTGTTGCTCACACTACATGTCCATCTTGGGTTCACCAGAGGTCTCTGCTCCACATTGTTCTAACTCTGGAACTCTAGCTGACCAAACAGCCATTATCTGGAATATACCTGGTAGCTGTGGTAGAGGGGAAAGGCCTATGGGGGCGGGGGGAGGTCTCACTCTAGCAAGTAAATGCCCCAACCTAAATGACATGACAGTTCCACTCACAGCTCAAGTTGTGACCAAAACAAGTCCCAGAGCCCACCCACCCCAAGGGGCCAAGAAGTATAATACTGCTATAGCTGGGAAGGAGGGAGGCCAGGGGCCTTTGGAATACATGGCTGGCTCCTGACTGCCACCATCTCTGCAAGCTAATAAGCCATATAGTTGCATATCCATGTTTCGTCTTCAGAAGTCAGGGGTCCAGGCTGAGACTAGGTAGGTGTTTATGCTCCTATACCCTGGCATCACCTGGGAGAGATAGGAGTCAGCAGGGTCTTTGGCCCCAAAGCGGGGAAATCTGTACAGGGATCGTCCAGAGCTGGCCCCCAAACAGTTTCTGAGGCTAGATCCTACCTGTCGCCTACAGGTCATGACCAACGGCTGGGAGACGGTGGACATGACCCTGCGGCGGAACGGGCTCGGGCAGCTGGGCTTCCACGTGAAGTATGATGGGACAGTGGCCGAGGTGGAGGACTACGGGTTTGCCTGGCAGGCCGGCCTCCGGCAAGGTAGCCGACTGGTGGAGATCTGCAAGGTGGCCGTGGTCACACTGACCCACGATCAGATGATCGACCTCCTGCGCACCTCTGTCACTGTCAAGGTGGTCATCATCCCGCCTTTCGACGACGGCACGCCCCGGAGGTAAGGGCATCTGCCCTGTAAGGTGGGAGCCAGGTGGGGGTTGGCAGCTTCCAGAGAGCCCGCGTGTGCCCCCGCCCCAGTGCTGTCACTCGAGGGCCTTTCTCAGGAGGAAGAGCCACAACGGCAACCAGGTGAGAGTCCACAACTATCAAGCACATACTGCGTGCCAGTTACGGTTGAAGCTCTGCAAATGCGTACTGTCCCATTTAATGTCTGTAACAGCCCCACGAGGTGGGCACTCTCATCAGTTCCATTTTGTAGGTGATGCACACAGCGTGAAAAGTAGCTTGCCCCGAGGCCACACTGTACTGGATTCACTCCTTCAACACATATTTATTGCGCCCCGAGTATGTGCAAGCTCCATTCGAAGCTGGGGATACAGCAGTAACGAGACAGAGCGCCTGCTCCCTAGAAGTTTGTGTTCTAGAGGGAGGGACAGGCAGTAATTAAATAGATATAATGCAGGACCAGGCAGTAATAAGGCTTAAGAAGAAAACTAAAGCAGAGTAAATAAAGGGCCTGCCCCATGGTGAGAGAACTGCTTACATTATCAGGGAGGGCTACTGGGTGGAGGCAGCCTTGTGGTCTTCTCTGGGCCAGGGGGTCCCAGACAGAGTGTGGACAGAGGCTCCAAAGTGTGAGTGTGAGTGTGTGTGACACATCTGTCCGTGCAGCACGGAGAGACCAGTGTGGCTGGAACAGGGGTGAGAGGTGGGGGCAACCTTTGGGGGAGCTTATGGACACAGTGACAGGCTCAGGTTTTACTCCACGGGAAGTGGGAAGACAGCGGAGAGTTTGGGGTTTTTTTTACTGGAACACTTCAAACATATTAAAAGTGTACTGAGCCCCATTTCAACACTAAGCAACATATGGCAAGTTTTGGGTTGGTTTTTTTTTTTTCAATCTCTGTACCTCCCTATCTTGGATTATTTGAACCCCTGTCTTGGATCATTTGAATCCATTCCAATGTTTAGAATGTATCTCTACTCAATAAGCACCTCTAAAAAATTATGATGTTGCTTACAAATTTTAACAGTAAGTCAGTATCAGTTACCCATCTGTGTTTACCTTTCTGTTGTATCAGAGAGATCTTTTTTAAATTTTTTTTTTCAACGTTTATTTATTTTTTTTGGGACAGAGAGAGACAGAGCATGAACGGGGGAGGGGCAGAGAGAGA